GAGAAAGTGAAAAGGTGTGTAAAACGATTAGATGACAAAAAATCATTGAAAAATTCGACAAATGGGAAACTAGAGTGAAATTTGATGCGTGTAAAGAAAGCCCGAGGTTAGCCCTCGAACAAAAAACCCCAGAAGGTCGGAAAAGTGGCATTCGCGTCACGCTGCCTCAATTCGGCCGAATTGAGATATAGTATCAATGAGCTGGAATTATGGGGCGTTGTATGGTCTATAGAGCATTTTCGTTGTTTTTGATGTGGTTAACAGCTCACTGTGGTCACATAAAGCGTTCCTTAGTGTACTCAAACCCAACCGTGTAAACAAAACATATCACAGTGGAATGACGAAATGGATAGATCGTTTGTTTCCATTTACGTTTGAAGTAGAGCACATTCTCGGAAAAGTATTGGTTTCCTTGACTACACTTCGCGTTTTCCGGCCAAAGAACCAAAGCCACCCTCGAAATTTGACGAGGAAATGGTTGTTGCATAAATTAACTCAATTAGTAATTTATTATGTTATTTCAATTCGTTCGATAAGCACTCGAGAGGGAATTCCAGGCATATTTTCGGTGTGAAAATAAGCACGAATTTAAGTCACTGCACTAATTGCTCAGCTTTGATTGGTCAATTGAGTGTGAAGAACTCACACTCCAGAAAGCGCGCCAAAGTTAGCGTACAGCAAATTGAACATTTCAAAAGTAATGAGTTTGAAATTAATAGTGATATTGTTCAGCACTATCAGAGTAGTAAAAATTTGCAAGATTAACTTGAGCCAGGAAAAAGCAGAATGAAAACGGAAATTTTTGGAACAAATACATATAGCAATGCGAAGTTGTTTGACCGTGCGAATTACATCATTGAAAATGAGAAAAAAGGCCAGCGAAAGTCATATCTTTGAAGAAGTCTGGAAAATTGAGGCAGTCGGAACGAAGGGGAAAGAGGACAATTCCAGCGAAGAGGGAAGAAGAATTAATCAAGTTAGCTAAAAGAAATCGGAAGCGGATACCAAGCGTGACGCAGGACAAAACTACCGTGGGAACGAACGAAAAGCTCAAAAACCAGAGAAAAGAAATCATTGCTGTTCGAGGAGACCGAAATGCCCATAAATCACAGTAAATAAACCAGATGTCGATATTGGATGTAGTCGCCGAGGAGGACAACAAAGATGGAGAAGTGTTGACAATAACAGATCTGTTGAAGATAAAGATTGCGAAAATGTTTTACTGAAAATTACTTGCTGCACTGACGAATCGATACGCGAAGCAAGACTGCATCATCAGCAAGGACGAGGAGAGATGTCGCGCGTTAGGCCAGTACTATTATCAACTCTGGAACGACATGAGTGTGGAACGAGGGATAATCGCGGTTGATGATGAGAAAATAGTAGCCCCAAATCAGTTGCAACCAGCAGTTTTGGACGTTTTCCAATCAGTTCACCCAGACCAAGCAGGAATGACGGACTTAGCAGAGAAAATTTGGTGACTGGTAAAGAATAAGGACATCGTAAACTAGTCCTCAACTTATCAATCTTGCACCAAAATTGGCAAGAACCTGAAAACTTTCCGAAAAAATACGGCTACACCGGTAAAAATTGAAAGAGCCGAACGAAGAGCTTCAAATTGATTTCATGGGACCAATAATTAATGAAAAGGGCCGTGTAGTCCATATTCTAGTACGATTGATCGGTATTCTAAATTTCCTTCATGCAAAATTTTCAAGAAAGCAAACAGTGGAATTGTGCTTCGATTCCTCGAGTTTATTAGACTACATGGAGTTTCTAGGGCAATAAGAGTTAATCAGGCGAAATGTCTCATAAAAACGGTGGTAGAAACATTTGCTGAAGATGATAATATAGAACTATTAATATCGCCGGTGGATGATTATCGGTGTCAGGAGCAGTAGAAAGATTGATTCGTACACTCAGAGAGAGAGATTAGGATGTATAAAAGAAGTAACGACAGAAACGTTTAAGCTACGTGAAGACCTGCTGCGCTTAATACATCAGTTTTGAATCTCTCAGCAAAAGGTTTTAAAATTTTCACCGTTTTAAGCACATTCTAGCCGCTATCCGAGTACTTAAAAATCAAATTTATTAACTGAACCTAAAGATGATTGGAAAAGTTTCTTCATTCCTACTAGTTTAGGTTATATGGTTTTTATTGGTAAAAACAGTTAACCGATGAAGATCGCAACCTTTTTGCACTACCTAAGAATTGCGGGATTAGACCTCCCCAGTAACACGGACTTTTCCAGAAGTTATGAGTGTTCACGAGCCATTTGTGATCCGTTAGAAAACAGTGATCCAGAAATAGCTGGAACGGAACAAACTCGGATAAATAGAAACATCAAAATTTAGAGACAGCGCATCACACTCTCAAAAAAGGCTTAACTTATGGAAAATTGCTCATCAGGAAAAAAACTGACAGTAAATCTAGCGTCACAGAAAGAAGCATCGAATTACCTAAACGTGCGACCCCTAAAAAAACGATTTTTCCCTCAACAAATCAGAGTTTGAAGATGGATTAAATCTGAGATATGGATGGGAACCACCAAACACCCCACATACATGCCCATGTAGATAATCATTCACACTGACCCACTCTCTACACTGTGGATACACTCACCTAAGACATAAAAAATTTGGCGATACCTTTGCGACACTCCTGAAGAAGTATGCCATGATGTTGAAATAGAGCCGAAACTTCAATCGTTGGAAGGCGAAAGCTTTCACAACAAAACAACCACTACTGAAGATGACGCTCGACTTGACATCAAGGCAAATGGACTTGACATCAAGGCAAAAGGCAAATCAAGGCGAGGCCGATTCAGCCGAAACTTTTTCGATGTAAAAATTTTCAACGCCCATGCTAAATCCTGCCCTAAAACTATATCTGACGCCTACAAATATCGTGTCAAAAAATTAAAATACCAACAAAGAATTCTGGATGTGGAACACAGCAGCTTTGTTCCACTATTTTTTGCGTGTACCGGAGGAGCAGCACCAGGCTTTACAAAAACCATCTATAATTTAGCAGAGAAACTAAGCAAAAAACGGAACGAATCATACTCGGACTCAATAAACTTTTATAAGAACAAAAATAAGTTTTGCATTTCTGAGGAGTGCAATCTTCTGCCTAAGGGGCTGCAAAAATCTTAAAAATACATCCAACATAGACAATTCTATCTGTGCTATAATCGAGGAGAGTAAATTTTAATTGACAATTCTCTTGATGCATCAAAATCGATTTATATAGCGTTCGTACGTTTGATTTAGTTACGACAGGACCAATTGTATTTAAATTTCCAGAGGCTGGTCACAGTTTAGGACAGGATCAGCCCGCCAATTCAGGATCAGCTAGGACAGGATCAGCTAAGAAAACGGGTCATAGGGTCCGAGCTAAGAAGGAGCCTGAAGGAACGTTTGGGCGTGCACCAGATGCAGAGATAAAGCGAACTTCAAAGTCGACAACAACGATCAATGAATCTGTGAACAAAGAAAACAGTGATCCGAAACTCAGATTTAGCGAGGACCGGTCCGCCAACATTGAAAAGGATTCTACTGTTTAAGTTTGCGGCAATTAAGTGCGACCCCTGGACGATTAGAAAAGAAGTTATTTACCAAGGACCGTGACGCGATAGAAAGAGTAAGAACCGTAGCACAGCAACATAAACGCCAACTAGTCGGAAAGCTTGAAGTGGTGACGAAAACTAGAAAAAGGGAGTCGAAAAGTAAGCAGACAAAACCGCCCAGTCAAGGGAGACGGCAGCGAGTCCAGGAGAAAAGTTCGTGAAAAGGAAGTGATGACAACAGAGTTCGCTTTGTCAGATAGTCCAGACGTAGAGTTGGGATTCGAGGCCTCATTCCAAGCTGAGGACTTGACAGGGCCATCATCAAGGCACATAACGATTCAACAGGAGCGAAAGTAACCATCAACACAAAAAGATACTAGAAGTGTAACCTATAATCTAGGCGAGAATAATCTAAGGCGGGGTGCCAATTTGCAGTGTGAGTGAAACGAGATGTAGTGATTCGGTGATTCCACAAAAAAAAACGATCGAGAAGAGGGCGAAATAACAGCGGAGTCTACTGAAGGCGAGATCACAGCGGAATCGACGGAAGGCGAAATTCGAAATGAAAATGAAAGAGAAAATGTCGACTTATAAACACGTCAGAAAGACCAAAAAGTTTCAACGAAAAATTGATTTTAAAAATTTTTATGAAAAAACTATTTAAAAATCATTTTGCCCAAGGGGGTATGTGGTGGTGCTATCGTTATGTGTTAGAATAGATCTCGTATTCATGTTAAGGTCATTGTCCTAATGATGTTGAGTGGTGCTTGGCCTAATTATGTTCGATAACATATTGTTTAGTTGTGGTTACGATCTAGACTGAATTAACAGTGATCGCACAAGTTTTTATTGAGTTAAGGAAGTAGTATTTGATTCCCTTAACTAAGTTATTACATCGGAGCCGTATATTACGCTTACTTCAGAGACTCAAATTTGCTACGTCGCATAATCGAATCCGACACGTAGCAGGGGTATTGCTAATTCGAGGCGTATTTCTGTTTTTTTTTGTGTTTTCACTTTATAGAACTGCTTTTTGGTCGTGTTCTCGCAATTGTTTGCGAAGCGCAGCTTCGTCTCTGCGTTTATTGTTCGTTTATCACTATTTCGTTGGCACTTTAATATAGTCCCTCTCGTGTCAGTCATTTTTTCATGATAACGGAATTTGTTTGTTTTACTATTTATTAACAGAGTATGCTCGAAGCAGATCAGCTGATCTTGTTGCCTGACCTTTTCAAGCTGCAGTGCCACTGGTCATTTTGTTCAAATATTCAATCTTCTGTATATCGACTTTTATAAGTTTGTTTTTCTCTTTTTCTATCCAATATTGTATTGCTTTTCGTACCTGCAGGGTCACGTGCTTTTGATGTCGTTTGATGTCAGGGGTGAGGTTTTGTGGGAGGTTCTGTTCTTCGATTATGTTGTGTTGTTCAGGTTGAGAAGTTCAAGTGTGCTCTGGTTGAGATGGCGGACAAGTACCGATTGCAGCATCCCGATGCGCCCCACAGTCCAGAAGTGATACCAGAGGGCACCGCTCCAATCGAGATGGATGTGCGACTAGGACTGTCCTCGTTCATTGTGAACCAGAGCCATCTGGCATATGCCAAAGACAGAGGTGGAATACACTTTTGATTGTCCGCCCGCCCGCCCGGCCCCCATTGTACAATGAGTTGCTGCCAATGAGTGAGGCGACAAATGGTCGAGTCGAAAGCGACAATTCGCACTTTTTCAACAAAAAAAAGCAACAAGCGCCCCCCCCCTCCGCACCAACGACAATTAGTAAGATTTAAATGGTATGCGTGCTTTAAAATGTTGCAAGCTTGTCAGAAACGAGACAAGAACTGTTGGAGAAAACGCCTGGAGGTTACTTATTGGCGCGACTGGGAGAGAGTGTACACTATTTGTGGCTCGGTGCAAATGTCGCTTTTCCTTTTCTCACTTTTACCACTTGTCGCCATCGACCAGTTGTCGCCTCGCCAGTTGCTGCTGTATCTAATATATGGATGCTACTACTATTTGCTCCAGTATAATTGTGGCGTGCCCTGTAATGTAGCTGGGTCTGAACCCATAAACATGTATACACAAGCTCATCTGTTCAATGTTTAATACAGTTCATGGCTTAGTTCGAAACTGGTGATACACTGTCCCCTTTTTTGAGGACCCAGCTATCATATAGGTGGCTATCTTTTAATGTAATTGAATTGATGACGCTACCAATCGCCATAAAAATGCGAAAAAAATCATGCTAACTAATTTCTCTTAGTAAACGTTTCCAGACCCAACCTTTGCAATGAAAATGACATTTGGCTTTGCAAACTTCTGCGCCTTCTTACCTTATAGTTTCATTTTTGCGTTTCAGTGAGTTTGGATAATTTTGTATCTATCGCTAAGTGTATCGTTGAATTTCATGTTTGATTTATTTTGGACTGTCAGTATTTGCTCCTTGAAATGTATATTCCCCGATATAAAAACCATATCAAAATAATAAATAATTTCTATTTCGTTCAGACAAAAATTTAATCATTCTAATGAATGCATTGTCCATATTTACACTTGTATCGAAAAGTTAAACTTGATATGTGATGAAACTATCCCTTTCTTTAGGATAGTTCTTTAATATTTATCAAATTAACATATTAAAAGATGTCTGTTTTAAATTTCCAATTCGATTGTTGGTCCGACCACTCATTGGGAACAAACATTGTAGACTCATAATTGGCGTGCATCACATAGAAATTTATGTAGACTCAAAGTTTTACTCATTCAGTTTTTCCCAGTAGCGTTATCGGTCATATTTTTGCTTGTGTATGCGAAGTACAACTTCGCCTCTGTGTGAACGTTTGTGAAACTCCTGTATGATAAAAACAGGTAGTATGAAATTGTATATGATCGTTCTTTTTTTGAGACGCTTTGGAAATTTTTTTCGCTTTTTAAGAGTAATGAACATAGTGAAGACTCTTATATAGGTCTTGCTGATTTTTATGTTTTTTTTCAGGAAAAGTTTTAAAAGTCTCTAATAACTACAGATGTTTATTCATATATATTGATGCATTTATGAATGCACTTAGTTAGGTATATATACACTTTTTGAGTTCAATTGAAATTCATCTGCTGAAAGTGACGTAAATAGCACCTCCAAAATCGAACGTGGAAATGGCGCGAAACAACGTGAACGATTTCTAGTTTCGAAAGTGAAGTTTCTTTTTAAGATTTCCAGCGTATTAAAAAAATTACCTGTTGATCCAGCTTTCTCTAGTTAGGTTCATGTTATCAAAAAGCGCCAATCATAATTTGTTCTAGAAATTCGAAAGAGCTCACAGGACATCTAATTTTTTCTTTGAAATTCGAAAGTTGAGATTTTTCAGCAGGTGAGTGTTTTTTTGTTTCCTTACGTTCATTAAGCTTTTCCGACTGGCTAAGTTTTCAACTGTCTGAGAGTTATGTTTTTAAATAACTATAAGAGTTCTCTTGAGACGTCATGATAAAATCTACTTTTTCTAAGCTGTAAATATGAATTTACTAAACTGAACACAAAAAACCTTCAAGTCAAAAACTCCAAATCAATTACCAAATGAAAATTGATTTTATATTCGATCGCTTAACTAACTTTTGGAAATTTTTTGAAGCTTTTCTCAAAAATTTTAGCTTTTCTCAGAAAGTACTTTTTCGATTTGCAAAAAAATGGTAGTGCCAATGGAAAGACCGTCTGCTCACATGGGTACCTGCATATACGTGTAGTCTCTTTTTTCCGTACTCCACTTGCTACAGCCTGCTGAAAAGTCTGTGTGGATTTTGGTTTTAATGGATAGAACAGGTTATGGAAAGTTTCCTGTATAAGCGGTTTTGCCGTATTTTTTTTCCGCAAAAAGTAAGGGCCCTAGCAAAAGTCAAGTGTTTGACTTTTGATTTTTTTTTAAGTTTTGATTAGAAAAATACCTGCTCAAATTTGAGATTTTGGGTTCAATGGAGGGAACTGGTTGTGGGACGCTCGCCTGCATTTAGGGGTAGCATAAATTTTTGTACGCTAAAAGTTGTCGTATAGTTTTAAGATAGTTTTTTTTTAATTTTTGACTTTTCTTGAGAATTACCCTGCCAAACCTGAAATTTTGATTTGAATCAAAGAAACAGGTTCTGCGAAACGACCTTTCCCAAGGAGTTATGGCCCGCAGAAAAGTCAACTTTTTGACTTTAGACCTCTTCTTAAAAACACATTTTTTTTCGAAAACTAACCGCTGAAATCTGAATTTTTGGGTTCAATGGAGATAACAAGTTGAATTAACCTCCCATGCATAAGCGTCTACGTCTATTTCTTTCTAAACAAAAAAGTTACCGACGTTGAAAAAGTCATATTTGTGTTTTTGACAGTTTCTTGTGAACTTTGTCTCGTCTCGAAAACTACCCTCCAAATCTGAGTTTTTAGGTGCAATCAAAAGAACATGCTATGGTAAGATCCCGTATATGAGTTGCTGTGCCCTTATTTTCTGTAACATAAATTGTTGTGGCATTCGGAAAAGTCTAATTTTTCATTTTGTTCTTTTTTTGAAACTTCTCTCGAAGACCACACCCCAAATGAGAGTTTTTTAGTTCAATCAAACGAAAATGTTAAGGAAGGCCACCCTGTTTAAGCGAATACGTCCAAATTTTACTGCAAGAAAGTTATGGCGCTCAGAAAAGCCAATGTTTTGATTTTTTGTCCGTTTTTGAAACTTTTTGACTTTTATCGAAAACTATCCAGCCAAGGATTTGATTGACGCAAGAGAATGCGGGAAGCCTTCGTGCACAAGCTACTACTCCGTAAATTGTTCAAGAAAATTGTTTGGCCTTTCTTTGATATTATAAAAGAGAAAGAACTGAAGTTGTATGTGAAGCCCGTTTTTTTGAAAATACCCTTTCATCCCGCTTCAGTCCAACAAGTTCAAAAACTATCGAACAGGTTAGCTCCAGTTATAGCTGGTCCCTATTTTTGAATTTTTTGCTCGCATTTTTCTGTGTTAATTTTTTTGGCCATTATTTTTTGGTTCTATCTACAAATTGCGTGGGCAAAGTACCCGCTCACTTGAAACGCTTTCACTGCTGCCTATTTTTTCCTAGTAAGTCATGTGTACTTGCAGCAGAATCTAAGTACGGGTTGTTTGGATCCAGACGACGCCGCCTTCCAGTGGTGGATCCGACATCTTGGGCCCCACCAAGATGCAAATGGCGTCAAGCCCCCCCTCCCATTGGGTCGGGAGAAGCTCCGAAGTCTCCGGGTTTTCGGTTACGGAGCGTCTGAAGCCGGCCAGGCTGCTCCGTCTGCTCATCCTTATACTACTACTCCGCTCCGGCATTAATCCAAACCCTGGTCCAGGGCCTTACTTTTGCTCCCCTTGCTCTTTCCGCATCAAACGCACCCAGCCCAGCGTCTGGTGCCACATCTGTGGTTACATTCACCTTAAATGTAGTGGTCTTACCCACCTTAACCAACACCACCTTGACTACTATTGCCCTACCTGTACCTCTACCTACATTTTACCTCCCCCAGGCACCAGGTCCTCTAACTTGACCACCCCCAACTCCCAAACTTGTTCAACTTCCCTAACCGCCCCCCAACCCCACCTCCCTAACCCCCCTCCCCCTCCCACCCTTCCCACCTCCTCGAATAATAATTCCTCCTCCCAAAATCGCGCAAATCGTAATCGTGTAAATAGTGTAAATAACTCAAGTTCAAACAACCATTTTAATCATACTGCTGTTAATAATGTAAATAGTTCACCACACCCTGCCAAAGGCCTTTTAAAAATCCTTCAATTTAATTGCAACGGTATCTCCGGAAAAGCACCCGAAATTGCTGCTTTCTTATCTCAAAATCAAATTCATATTGCTGTCTTCCAAGAAACTAAATTAAGAAAGAAATCTCGAAACCCCTCACTTGGCTCACACTACACTTTAATTAGAAAAGATCGAGAAAAAGAAGGGGGCGGTCTTCTCATAGCCATACATGAGTCGATACAATACGAAGAAATAAATATTAACAACGATGGAACACTAGAGGCTATGGGCATATCAGTGGTAGCCAGTTCATCCAAGCTTCGTATTTATAATTTCTACATCCCCCCTCGCTCGAGCTGTCCCCCTGGTTACTCTGCGTCCCTTGCCGAACTACTTGAACCTGGGGACGCCTTAGTACTCGGAGATGCCAACGCACATTCACAACTATGGAACTCCAACATCGAGGAAGATCAACGCGGCTCTGTACTTAGCAATGAAATAACCGAATCCACCTTTGCTCCATTAAATGATGACACACAAACCAGAGTCCCTTTTAACTCAGAAAACCAACTCTCGTCACCAGATATTTCCCTCGCATCCCAATCGCTCTTACTCTCCACATCATGGACCCCAATTAAATCTCTAGGATCAGATCACCTACCCATTCTTCTAGAACTACCCTTGGATGATTTTATAAATTTTTCGCCTAAAAGGACTTTTGTAAATTTTTTAAAAGCAGATTGGATCAAATTCACAGAGGAAATTGAGGAGGGTTTCTTTTCAGCGGTTCCACCTTCCGGAGTTGCCGCTGGAGAGAAATTCTTGAGGGACCTGGTGCTCAGGGCAGCACGCCACCACATCCCCGCTGGCCGTATTCGCCACTTCACTCCCTCTCTTTCCCCCGAGTCCACTGCCCTAGCCGCCGAAAGAGATTTAAGCCGAAAACAAAATCTCCCCCCAGAAGTCATATCCCAACTGAACTGTAGACTCATGAAACAGACAGCAAAGGACAAAGAAAATAAATGGCGAGAATTCCTCCGGACTTGCGACTACCGCACTGGTGCCAGAAAGTTCTGGAAAGTGGTACGCTCCTTAAATGGATCTAAGCCCGTGGCAGGAAGACACCCCATTACTTTTGGTTCTAAACCCATACACTCACCTCGTGATATTACCAGCTCTTTTAACAAACAATTCACCAATGCCAGACCCCACGCCTCTGACAAACTCCTTCGTATAACGAGAAGAAAAATTGCCAAACTACCACTGTCAGACAGCCCAATTTTTACCCCTGAAAATACTAAACAAGCCATTGCAGACAGCAAACCATCGCGAGCGCTAGGTCCCGACGGCCTCTGTAATATACATCTTAAACATCTCGGCCCACTTGCTACTCAATACTTAACATACCTTTTTAATATCTCTTTGTCCGAAAACATTATCCCCCAAATTTGGAAAAATTCAAAAATTGCACCGCTTCCAAAGCCCAATAAGGATCTTAAACAATCAACATCTTACAGACCTATATCCTTACTCTGCCCAGCAGTTAAAATTCTGGAGAGGCTCGTTCACCCCATCTTTACCAAACATCTCCCCAACGCCAAACACCAACACGGCTTCCGCCCTTTTCACTCCACCACCACAGCTCTCTCCACTCTCGAATTTTACATTTCAGACGGTTTTAACCAAAATCGCCCCCCTAAACGTACGGTACTGGCCACACTTGACTTATCTAAGGCTTTCGACATGGTGTGTCATCGCTCACTTGTGGAACTCGTTCATGACACTCCCCTCCCAAGAAGTCTAGTCCGCTGGCTAAGTAATTACCTTAATGGTCGACAGGCTGCCACCTCATTCCGTGAACACACATCCCCCCATCGAATAATCCACTGTGGCGTACCCCAAGGTTCTGTTTTATCACCCACACTCTTCAATTTTTATGTCCATGATGCACCGCCACCTCCCGATAATGTAAACCTTGTTTCGTATGCAGACGATTTCCACCCCTTCGCAAGCA